TTCTTATTATGGTAACAATAATATTCCTTAAGCTAAGTCAGAGACAGGTACAGTAACAGGCTCTTGACATGTCGACATGTCGACTAAAGTCCGGCAACATCACGTTACGTCACCTAACGTCGCTGGCGAGACATGTCCCAGGACATTTGCCCCCAAGAGTATCCTTGGCTTTACAGGGACTAGGTTGACAGAAGTTCAGTCGCAGATTACAACAATATTATAGATTTTTTTATGGGATAGGCTGGTAAACGAGCAAATGGATCACCTGATGGTAAGCAATCGGCGTCGCCCATAGACACCTGGAACACCAGATGCGTTACAAGTGCGTTTCCGGCCTTTTGGGATTAGGAATTGGGATGACGACAGGGTATGAAAATTAACAATATAATTAGTCCGTTTTATAGATAATAAAAAAATATTAGACACGTATTTTTTTTGTCGTATAATAAAACAATACCTACTTAGATAAAACGAATCAAAGTTTAGGAGTGGGGGCTAAAACGTCATTTCTACGTATAAAATATACATAGAAGTGACGTCACGCGACATTTTAAATCAATATATCGTCGTAAGTATTCGTTTCTGTGAGAAAATAAAAAATACATGTCTAATGATTTAAAATAATCTACCAGACGGACATTAAGATAAAAATTAGGCATCTACCCTATTCAGCGATAATGTGATTGAAAATCGAACAGAAAGAGACAAAATAAAATGAATACAACCATTTGTAGACTTACCATATCAACATCCCTTGAATTGCTTATACCAGATAGTATCATATAGAATACCACATGCAAAATCACTATGCAGACTGCAGACATGAATCTGATACCGTTCATCACACGAATCTCGTCCTTATTGTCCTTTACTAAAGCTTCTCGATTCTTGGCCATGCAGAAAGATGTTGTTATGATTTTTACTGGAATATAAGGTTCATATTAGAATTTACACACATTCTTACAGATCAGTAGAGAGTACCAAACGTTATCATAATGATCATCGTGATCTATACAGATTAATAAAATTGGAGTCTGATTGTAATAATAAAATAACTGTTACTACATGCATATGAGTATACATACGATACACATACCATCACAGGTGGGCCGTGTGCTTTTCTTGCCACCGTCGTGGAATAAAAAAGAACATACCAAAATAACATTTTTTATAATCTTTATTTGTCTGTCTGTCGTTAATCTCTGCAATGGCTGGACCAATTTTGCAAGACTTTTATTGGAAGGTAGCTGATGTACTAAGGACTAATATAGGCTACTTATATTATAGAAAATTGAAACAAAAAATATTTTATGCGGACGAATTCGCGTGCAGCAACTAGTATACATATGTATATATTTTATACTTGACGAAAATTGATTTATATATCCGTTTGAAAAACAGTATTTACTTAAGTAATTTGATGACTGATCTTCAGCTGGTACATGCTTCCGATAGTAGGTAGAAGCCACAGCAGTTGCTACCAGTAACAGGACCAATACTCTGGAAACAAAAAGTTATCATAACATCACGCGTTTTATCCACGACCGGGTAGACAGAGGTGCACATTACGGAACTTAATGCCACCGTACAATCTAACACCCACTTTTCACTATTTATGTTATGAGTCTCATGTAATAGGGGGTGAGCCTATTGCTATATACAATTCTAGACTCCGTGCTACTACTGAGATTTTTTTTAAACCCAGTTATACTTTTGTTTACTAGATAGATTGACGGTTGACCACCATCTCGCCTGATGGTAAGCGATGATGTGCCGGACCCGAGAATCGATCCCGAGAGCACTTGCGACCACTCGTCCAACGAGGCAGTCTGTGAGGCCTCTCCCATAGCACGTAAGCATTCAGCTGAACTCGAAATTCAGCTCTTCGCATACAACATTGATACCTACTTACATGAAGATATAAAACCCAGCGGAAAAAGGTGGGCTCGCCCCAGCCTCCTGGCAGTGTTTCACCGTGACGTCAGACGCTATGCTGCTGAAGGTGGCAGCCTCATACACCACCCTGCTCAGCTTGGAGACTGCTGAAGATGAGCAGGACGCTGGTATACATACAGCCCACATGATGTGATTCACAGACGCACCCGATATTGATAGTGACTGAAACGAGTAGTGTTCAAATGTCAGTCATTAAATATCTTATCTTAATCTATATATACATCTCGTGTCACAATGTTCGTCCTCAATGGACTCCTAAACCAATTAACCGATTATAATAAAATTCGCACACCATGTGCAGTTCGATCCAACTTGAGAGATAGAATAGTCTATTTTTCATTAGGGTACAGTAGGGTAGAGTAAAGTAGAGTAGGGTAGAGTAGGGTAGAGTAGTGTAGAGTAGGGTAGAGTAGGGTAGAGTGGGATAGAGTAGGTTAGAGTATTACGCGGTACGAAGTTCGCCGGGTCAGCTAGTTAAATATAAATACGGTTGATGCTGTCTAAGCAATAGCAGATTATTCTTCAGTTGCGTGATTACAAATTAATTTTATTACTTTAATAATTATATTAACATCACATTATAATTGGTCTCCTTTATGTAAGTAACTTGTGGTGAGTTGCAGAGGCCAAGTGCAATCGGGCAAAGATTACTAGGTTTTTTAAAATCTCAGTAGTAGCACCGAGTCTGGAATTGTGCCCGGTATATGGCAATAGACTCACCCCCTATTACATGGGACTCATAACATAAATAGTGAAAAGTGGGTGTTACATTGTATTGTGCTGGCCCATTCGTGCCGAAGCATATTTTTTTTTATTTTTTTTTAAGGGGGGAAAATCATCGAATGACTGCTCCCGCCTGGGTGAGGCGGGAGGGAGTGTCAGACTCTTACTGACTAAAAACCACCCCGTTCCTTCTCCTGCACGTCGAGCCGGAGCCCCGGTTACCCGTTAGGTTCTCCGCGACGTGCCGAAGCTTAGCTCTTAAACGCTTATACGTACTTATTTATACTCACATTTATGTACGTAAGAGTCGGTCCAAAAGGGTTGTACTCTGCTACTTTTTTGGAGTCGCTTTCATCAGAAAGTAGAAAGTCGGTGAAACAGTACTTGGTCTTCAGTTGTGGATGGGTGTGCAACCATGGTGGTTTCAGACATTGGTCGTAGCTTGCGTATTGTCGTGCGGAACCGTACAGGTTGCCTGTAGGTAGGGAGTTGGCATTCCACACTGGAATAAAAATTATAATAATTTATTTATCACTTCTATAATTGATGAATCTAAAGTGACTTACAGATCTTATGGTACTCTATCAATATTGATAATAATTCTGGTGGGCTACTGCTTTTTATATTTTATTAATAAAAAAAAATAATGCGGACGAATTTTTCAATGCTTTATTTATGTAAATAGTTGTTTTTCCTTTTCTTTTATATAATTTTAATCTTAAGTTGTATATATTTTATTATTAATTTAGTAATAGTTAATTTTAATTTTATTTAAGTTTTTATTGAAAAATAAATAATAAAGAAGGGAAAGTAAAAAATAATAATAATAATCTATTATATTTAAAAATCTGTAAGTAAGTCAAGTATAGAAATAAATAAAGGAAATTCAAGTAGATAGTATACGCTGAAGTTCTCAAGCGCCACTCAAATTTAAGTCGCGATTGGGAGAGACAGACATAGACAGAAACAGAGACGACACGATAATTAAGTACAACGAAAAATTTTGTAGCCTTTCCGTATTCAGATTATAGTCTCTCACAGAAAATTGAAAATGAACGTAACATTTATGTGTTTCCCGAAAATGATGGGACGAATGGACAAACGGTTCCAGGATAACCCAGTCCATCAAAGTAGCATTTGGTAGCTAATCTTTTTTTTTATTTATTTGTTTAAATAAGTATATCAACAGCTTCGGTATACATAGTATTAACTCGTCGAGTACCGTCATTATAGACACAATTATAGAACAATAGGTTGCGGTCACCGGTGTCCTCTTGGTGTTTGACAGTTTAAGAGATAAGACGACAGGCGAAACACAGCGAACTATTATTATGTATGCTTCATCCTGTATTATCACTTATTACCTATGTTTGCAATAAATAACTTTGACATTGACTTTGACTTTGAAAAAATAATAAAGGTAACAATAAGTATTGGACTTATATACAGTCGCAAAATTGCAGGTTAACCAACTTTACAATTAAGTGATAAATATACTATATAAGTAAACGAACAAGCAAAATAAATAAGTAAAAAAAGAGAAGCCACTACTTACGAAATCAACAGTCTTATGTTAAAAGAAAAATAATCAACTTACTCCATGTCGCCCACAAAGTGTGATTCTTCACGTTTTCCAAAACATTTAAAGCACTTTCCAAACACGGCGCTTCATCTTTCTCCCACTTTTCCAGCTTCAGTTTGTGCGCCAACGAATCTAGGAATGTGTCTGCTTGTGGCTTGTTGATATTTTGGGAATATACGTGCCCTGCAAGAATATAAATAAAATAATTAAAATAAATATATTTACGATTGCTATTTATTACATAACATCACTCCTTTTATCCCCGAACACCCCTTACGCCATCTAGTGAGTAGATGATGTAACTTTCTACTGTTTTACTTTTTGTGACTGTATATATTGAATATGTTACTTGTTCATTCATTTGTGTATAATTCGTTCCTACTTGAAATAAATCGTTCCCTTTTCTATTCGTATCGCAATCAGCACAAGTCGTTTTATCTGTGTCTATATCTCTATATCTACATATTTGTATATCTATCTTTATATATATAATTCTTCTGTGAGTGTGTATGTCACTGAACTTGTCTCAAACGACTGGACTGGACTGGAAATTTTTTGTGTGTGTTCAAGGGGATCTGGGAATGGTTTAGATTCACAAATCAGCCCGGCAGATGGCACTGCAGTCGATGTTTAGGTTATTTATCCTAAACAGCTGAACTAATTTGAATGAATTTTTGTTTATATATTCAAGTGGATATGCAGGACAACGTCTGTTGGGTCCGCTAGTATATCTATCTACATATAAAAAATCGTAGAAATGTCTAAATCTACAGACATTGAATATTTTTTAAAAGGATTCTAAGGGCGTTATCTGCAATCGATATCGAAGCCAAAAATATCGTGTTTAGAATTTTTGTCTGTTTGTCTGTATGTATGTCCGGGATGAACTCAAAAAATGCTGCTTGGATTTACTTCAAATTTTGCATGAATATTACTAACAGGTCGGGTCAACATATATGCTACATATTATCACGCTATCATCTACAGGGAAGAAGCCCTATACCAGGTACTGAATCAATTCTGACGACATTCTTTACCATAGAAAATCCCTTGATAAAAATTAATTTAAAGCCTAAATTCTGCTCGAAGTCATTATTTTACGCGGACGAAGTCGAAGTTAGATTAATTAATAAATACCTACGGAGCGTTTCATTGTGACGTCATCATGTGTCATTCATTAGTTACTAGACTACATAAAACAGATGGCGACCTTAAAATCCGGTTATACATAGTTTTATGATGTTACCTATCAGCTATTCGTCTAAGTACTTCGCGTGAGAGACAAACTTCATCTAATGAATGTTTATTTATTATTTATTTCAATTTAAGGCAACCAACAGCTATATTACAAATAATAACAATTCAGTGTATGCTATAAAAACTAATTATGAGTTTCCACGGTATAATTATTGTAAATGTATAACTTTGATTTTATGTATATAATCTTTTACAGTAAAACCTGTAAGGCCCCCTAAAACATCGATACTCATACATAAATATATATGCTAGCATAATATACATAATGTAACATAACATCACGCCTTTTATCCCCGAAGGGGTAGACAGAGGTGCGCATTATGCTACTGTACAGTGTAACACCCACTTTTAACTATTTATGTTACGAGTCTCATGTAATAGGGGGTGAGCCTATTGCCATTGCCATATATCGGGCACAATTCCAGACTCCGTGCTACTAATGAGGTTTTTTTTAAAAAACCTTGTATTGCGTTGCCCGAACCCGGGAATCGAACTCCCCGAAAAGACCCCTTGTTCGGCAGTTGCACTTGCGACCGACTCGACCAGTCTATAATTATGAGCATAACTATCGTGTAATAGGGATGATGTCGTTTGCAAATAAAAAATGTCATCAGTTAAGTAACGGAACTATTTTAGACACCTAGCTTCACTGACGGACAGACTGACCTACAATTATTTATTTTGTATTTGTTGACGTTTCAAAGTACCGATTATAGCTTAATTGAAATAAATGCTTTGACTTTGAATTTGACACGTATATTTTTATTTTGTCGTATTAGAAAACAATACTCAGATGCAATCGATTAAAGTTTAGGAGCGGGAGCTGATTACGACATTTTCTAAGTATAAAACATATACACACACACCTAGAAGCAATATTTATTTTTTATGGAATAGGAGGCGAACGAGCAGACGGATCACCTGATGGTAAGCGATCAACGCCGACCATGGACACTCGCAACACCAGAGGAGTCACAGGTGCGTTGCCGGCCAATATCACGTGGTATTTCAAATTATTAAAACCTATCTACACCAAGTGTGTGTATAAGTGTGGGAGACCCATGCTGGGAAATGGGTCCGCTCAACCGGAGTGATACCACGGCCTCACAGAAAACCGACGTGAAGTAACGCTTGCGTTGTGTTTCGTCGTGTGAGTGAGGTTACTGGAGGCCCAATTACCCTCCCCTTCCCCAATCTCCCCAATTCCTGAATTCCCAACGATCCTCAAACTCCTAATCCCCAAAAGGCCGGCAACGTGCTTGTAACGCCTCTGGTGTTCCAGGTGTCCATGGGCGACGCCGATTGCTTACCATCAGGTGATCCGTGTGCTCGTTTACCGGCTTATGCCAAAAAAAAGTATTAAAGAGGAAAAAATTTTTTGTTTGTTTGAATTGAATAAGCTCTTAAACTACTGGGCAGAATTAAAAATTCTTTAAACGCTGGATTCCTAGTCCTACATGATAAATAATGAACATAGGTTATATTTTAAAAAGAGAGAAAAACGGGAAAAGAAAAAGATTTATTTTTGAAAATTTGGATTGTTGTAGTGACATAACTACAATAGTTGGACATATGTTACCGCGGAGTTTTTTGTAGACATTATGATGTTCTTCAATATTGTTGTACAATATTTTGTTCTATCGCTAATAGTTTCGGCAGCGCATTCGACGAAAGACATAATAAGACTCATTTTTCTACACCTTCGGTTACATTGTTCAAATTTTAGTAAGGATGCCTAATTTTTTTTCAAAATTAAATGTAGCCTATGTGAAATTGGAAGAATGTAGCATTCCATTGGTGAAAGGATTTTTTAAATCGGCCCAACTTTTTGAGCCATACCATATATTCATTACAAACATACAAAAATAGTTACAATTCTTTCCTCTTTATAATATTAGTATAGATTGATTCTGATGACATTTAATTTTGTTACACAGCATTGAATTAACCTTGGAGAAGACTAATTAGAAAATCCAAAATTTGCCAGAAGTCATTATTATACGCGGACGAAGTCGTGGGAAACAGCTTGTTGATTATAATTATGAATTACTATTCCTTTCCTGTTTAAAAGGGCCTAAGCTGAAGAAAAAAGAATGTACCTAACATAAACACTATCAAATTTAATAAAACCTCTATTTAAATGTCAATAATAGATGTTTTTACCTGTCAGCCGAGTGAATTCACAAAGATTCTGTTATATAATTTATCTATATATAAATCTATACTAATATTATAAAGAGGAAAGATTTGTACCTATTTTTGTATGTTTGTATGTTTGTAATGAATAGGCTCAAAAAGTACTGGGCCGATTTAAAACATTCTTTCACCAATAGAATGCTACATTCTTCCAATTTGACATAGGCTACATTTCATATTGAAAAAAACATTACCCTCCTTCTTTGGCAGTCGGGTAAAAATTAGGGATCATTGGTAAAATTTGAACAATGTAACCGAAGGTGTAGAAAAATGAGTCTTAAATGTCTTTCGTCGAACGCGCTGCCGAAACTATTGGCGATAGAACAAAATATTGTACAACAATATTGACGAACATCATAATGTCTACAAAAAACTCCGCGGTAACATATGCCCAACTATTATAGTTATGTCACTACAACAATCCAAATATCCAAAAATAAATAATTGTCTACCCCGTGCGAAGCTGGGACGGGCTGCTACTGTTATAGATAGACAATAATAATGCTATTTATTTGTCTTTATTTCATTAAGTTTAATACAGGGTTTGTTTTTTCCTTTATCTCTGTAATAGTTTGGATTACTTTATTAGTTACTATAAGTTTAATATGGTGTAAGTAGTCGCTAGATTTTATAATACACTAGTGACCCGCCCCGGCTTCGCACGGGTGCAATATGCATGTATTATACATACAAACCTTCCTTAAGAATCACTCTATCTATTAAAAAAAACCGCATCAAAATCCGTTGCGTAGTTTTAAAGATCTAAGCATACATACGGACATACAGCGAAAGCGACTTTGTTTTATACTATGTATTGATTGATTAATACCTTGTTATCGCATTGGGTCCTAAACCTGTAATTTTAACTTGTGTGTATAATAAATAAATAAATTTTGAATATTAAAACAACAAAGTAGGTAGGTACTTACCAGAAACTCCGGAGCAGGTCTCTTCAGAGGACCCGGTGCCCCTTATAATATGTGCTGAGGGTGGCCACCGGGGTGGTTTTAGTGAGGTATGAATCCCACACTCCCTAGTCTTTCTCCCCAAAAAGCTAGGCGCCTTTTGAAGGTTTCCCCCGACATCAAAAAAAAAAGGTACTTACCAGAAAATAAAATAAAAACCAAAGTCGAAATCCACATTTTACGATATAATAAATAAATATACACTCAGAACTGTATCACATGTTTTCCGTTTGACAAATAAACAGAGTATAAGAATTATAATATTATTTATAAGTAAAGTCAGTTCTAAAAACGGAAGACATATAAAGAAAATAAGGGGGCATTTACATCGGCACGCGAGACGAAGTATACATTTTTTTTAGGGGGAAAATCAGCTTTGAATTCTCTCGCCTTGGGCGAGGCGAGAGTGTCAGACTTTTTATTTTATTTTATTACTAGCTTTTACCCGCGGCTTTGCTCGCATCACAAAAGGATAAAATAGTAGCCAGTGACATAATAATATACCAATACACACAGCGCCATCTATACCAATACTTTTGTTTTCCCTCGGAAATATCAAATTTTTTCTGGAGTGAAAAGTACCCTATTATTTAATCCGAACTTCCAACTTTACGTCTGCAAAAATTCAAAGCAATCGGTTTAGTAGTTACGGCGTGAAAGCGGAACAAACAAACAAATTCACTTTCCGGGTTATAATATTAGTAAGGATTTATTTATTATAAACTATCATTACAGGGACTAATACCTAATGCGTATGTCAATATTTATAGAATTAAATTACAAAGTCTCTATTTTACAATTAGGTACTACAACATTATGTTTTTATAATAACTATCGTGAGACATACTAAATTAAGTAAAAACGCGGGTTACTCACGTGAATATACTGAGAAAAGCTCAGTATATTCACGTGAGTAACCCGCGTTTTTACTTCATTTACTACAACATTCATTATGATAGTAACAATCACATTCCTTAAGCTAAGTCACAGAAGGGTACAGGTACGGTAACGGGCTTTTCGACTCTTTCTAAGTACTAACTACAACCCACCCCGTTTCTACTCCTGCTTTGAACTGAGGCCTTAGTACCTACGAGTGTTTTCGTAACGAGTACGCGTTCGGCGCTCTGATTGGTTGGTTCATTGGCGCCGGCCAATCAGAGTGCCGAACGCGTACTCGTTTCGAATACTTTAAACGTAAATGAAACTCGTACTAAGGCTTCTGAAACCCCGGTAACCCGTTAGGTTATCCGCAGCTCCAGTCAGGCTTTATTTATTATTTTTCATAATATATATTATTATTCTTTATTGTACACCACACTCATTGCATTATAGGATAATCTATCTATATAAATAAAAATGAATTTCCGTTCGTTAGTCTCGCTAAAACTCGAAAACGGCTGAACCGATTTGGTTCATTTTGGCTTTGAAGTGTTCGTGGAAGTCCAGGGAAGGTTTAAAAGGTGAGAAAAAAGTTTGAGGCGGTACGAAGTGTAGTCGAAGTACGAAGAACTGTCAGCTAGTATTAACTATAATTGTGTACAATGGGCGGTGTTATCGCACCAGGCAATTTCTTACAGACAACCAACAACACAGGCTTTATGTCAATAGACTTTTTGTGATACCTACGTAGATATTATTTATTTATTTCTTCTTCACAAAACATAACAGTGAATGGCGGCCTTAATGCCTTAAGGCATTCTCTTACATTCAACCATAGGGAAATTCAAATACCTACAGAATAAATATATTACTACAATATTTTATAAATTTGTTTAGACATACATGCTGTATAATATATACTGCTAAACGAATACTTATACCTACTGCATAAATACTACAATATATTATTTAAAAAATGACGTTGTCAAAATAGTTTCCTCAATTGTTTTGAGTCTGCCAATGCTTAAGTACCTAAATGCTAAGCAGTGGGATAGTAAGAATATAAATTATTTAAAGGAATAAACATTAATAAAATGAACATTAAGCTAATAGTAATAAGGTTTCCTATATCCTAAAATAAAGATACAATACAGTGCTTAAGAATAGGTATACTAAAATTAAAATTCTAATAAAGGTGATTCGTGATTCGGAAAATTCCATTATTTGACAGTGGACCGCCCGATCTAGGTTAATTTAAACCTGTGTTTCAGGCTTTTTTAAGGGGGGAAAATCATCAAATGACTGCTCTCGCCTGGGTGAGGCGGGACGGGTCAGACTCTTACTGACTAAAAACCACCCCGTTCCTTCTCCTGCACGTCGAGCCGGAGCCCCGATTACCCGTTAGGTTCTCCGCGACCGTGTGTACTACTATTCTACACCTTCGGTTACATTGTTCAAATTTTACCAAGGATCCCTAATTTTTTTTCAAAATGAAATGTAGCCTATGTTAAATTGGAAGAATGTAGCATTCTATTGGTGAAAGAATTTTTTAAATCGGCCCAGTACATTTTGAGCCTATTCATTACAAACATACAAAAATAGGTACAAATCTTTCCTCTTTATAATATTAGTATAGAAGTATAGATTACGAAAAAACGTACATCTAATCCAAAATCTTTATCGTAAATGTGAACACTCTTTAAATTAATGCCCTTGTGTGACGTCAAGTTCGAAATATTTAAATACACGTTTTAGATGTAAATACATTTTCAAAAAATAATAAAAAATGTCTCGTAGTCGTATGTTGACGGTTTGCAGGTGCGAATAAGGTGTCGGGGGGTTCATTCTTGGGTCTAATGGATTGTCGACCTTTTTAGGTGTTCGAAAACAACCTTACTAATATTTAAATCGGAAAGTGGGTTTGTTTGTTTGTTTGTTCCACTTTCACGCCGTAACTACAAAACCGACTGCTTTGAAATTTTGCAGACGTAAAGTTAGAAGTCTGGATTAAATAATAGAGTACTTTCTATCTCGTAAAAATTAGATATTCTCGAGGGAAAACGAAATTATTGGTATAGATGGCGCTGTGGATATTGGAATATGTCACTTAGGCTACGTTATATCTTTTTGTGACGCGAGCGAAGTCGCGGGTAAAAGCTAGTTTTTTTATAAAGGCAAACCAGCAAACAGATCACCTGATGGTAAGCGATCAACGCAAACCCGCAAGACCAGAGAAGCTACAGGTGCATTGCCGGCCTTTTAAAAAGGAATACGCTTATTTCTTGAAAGTTTGAAGGTCGTATCGGTTCGGAAATACCGCCGACGACAGATCATTCCACAGTTTTGTGCACCTGTAGTACAGCAATGTATGGATGCATACTATTATACATAAATGCGTTGTTCTAATTGGGCTTTTTTTTAATACGCTCTTTTCTTGTAGGATTGCAGGTCGTCCCATATGCTATGTGGTTCATTGTTATTACATATTCAAGACCTTTCCAGTTCTATCTACATTATTCTATTTTCTCACAAAATTACTTAAATTATATTTTTATGATAACTATCGTGAGACGTAGGTACTAAATTAACTATAAATCGAGGGTTACTCACGTGAATATAATGAGAAGAGTTTTACTAGTTTCGAACCACAGAGGGTCAAAGTCAAAGTCAAAGCATTTATTTCAATTAAACCATAATTTGGTACTTTTGAAATGTCAACAAATATATAGTCTATCAGTCAATCCGTCAGCGAAGCTAGGTGAAGCTAGGTGCTCATTCCAAAATGTAGATTCGAATGGAGAAGAACGAACAAGAAACTCCATTTGTTACTCTTTTTAAAAAAGTATGTTCTACAATGTCTCTAATACATCCCATAAGGGATATATAGTGTTGCATTGGTACTTGGTCTTGGTCAGTTTTGAACCCGCACCTTCATGCATGACAATGCGTCTTAGGCCCTATTTCTCCAACGCCAGATACATTTATTTAACAATAAGTTTTCCTTATTAAATACTGCCAATGAAATGTCAATTTTATTCTACAGTTAAGAATTAAACTGTCAAACACCAAGCGGTCACCGGTGACCGCAAGCTATTGTTCTATAATTGTGTCTACAAAACCGGTACTCGACGAGTTAACTGGTGATTAAAAATCGGCCCCTAAACTTCCGAACCATGGCAATGGGTATTATAATGAATTAAAGACAAAAAAAAAACAAAATGGTGACCTCGGACATTGTAGTCTTAGTTAAACAAGTTCTGCCGAAGTACTTACATATAGCTAGTTGTAACATGACGCGAGAATATAATTTAAAAAATCTATACATACATACAATAAATATTTTTATGTATGTAACATAACGTAACATAACATCACGTCTTTTTATCCCCGAAGGTGTAGGCAGAGGTGCACATAAGAAAAAATTATAAATATGAAAATATGTGAGTTTGTGTGTTTGTATGTGTGTGTTTGTTCCTCAGCCACATCACAACGGCTGAAGAGCCCAGCATGAAATTTGGAACAGAGCTAACTCAGGTAAAAAGTAGCCTAAGTATTAAAAGTCAAAGTCAAAATCATTTATTTCAATTAGGCCAGAATGGCACTTTTGAACGTCAAAAAAATATTAAAAGTGAAGCTATTTGCTCTAAGCTATTTGCTATTTGATTACAATTATTATTCAACTCTAGACATTAATATACATTATGGTCTAGAGGCATTACTCCAAGTTTAAACCATGCGCGCGCCTCAAAGAGCCATCAGACCACCACGGATGGGGCCAAACAGGGCTGATGCCGATTCGAAGTCGCGGAGAACCTAACAAGTTACCGGGGCTCCGGCTCAAAATGCAGGAGAAGCAACGGGGTGGTTTTTAGTAGTCAGTAAGAGTCTGACACTCCCTCCCGCCTCACCTAGGCGGGAGCAATCATTCGATGATTACCCCGCCTTAAAAAAGTAATTAAAAAAAAACGAGTTACCGGGGCTCCGGCTCGACGTGCAAGAGAAGCAACGGGGTGGTTTTTAGTCAGTAAGAGTCTGACACTCCCTCCCGCCTCACCTAGGCGGGAGAAGTCATCCGATGATTTTCCCCCCTTAAAAAAAGTCTAGACCATAGTCAAGTGTATGTACATTACTTTTATTATAGGCTACTTTTTAAACCGGGAACGCGGGCGAAGGCGGTAGTAAATGTTAGTTTTTAAATAAAATTAAAAATTTGTTGATATAATTAAGAAGTCTTAGAAGGTTATGATATTCATACTACATCATTATAAAGTCGGAATGGCGTCAACAATTTTTTTTATACATTTGTTAGGCCGACGTTTGACCAATATCTAGCCTTGTGGTAAGCTAT